ATTCCCATTTATTAGGTACAGAGACTGAAGCTGAGAGGTAAGTGCCAATCATGTCCTGCCTCTGGGAGTAGAACTTCCTCCCTTGGAGTTCAGTCCTCTCTCTTCTACCTCCCAACCCTGACTGAGGAGTGGAGGAGACACCGCCTCCAAAATACCTAGCGACCTCTGCTGAGGACACTTTTATCACAGCCAACAATAATCTCTCTGCCTGGAATTAAATTTATTCCCTAGGTTCCTGCCTTCATTGGAAAGTTCTGTTTTCCATCTAGGTGTGCTTTTCTGATGCTTATGGTTTCCTTTTACTCTTTTGTGAACATGCTTAAATTTTCCACATTCCTCTTGTGTTTCTGCACCTCAGTGGTTGCAGCACGGAATAGAGCATGGCTTTTGAACAAGCCCCATGTTACCTGTGGGAGAGTGAAGAGCTGCCTGTCAGATGTGATTTGCAAGGGAGGGCTGCCTGCCCCCCAGTTTCCTGCAGCCTTACTGCAAGACTAAAACTGCATCGTTAAAAACTCTGTCTTGTACAGCACTCTATCCCAAAGCTCCGTAACTTGATTTATCACCTTCAAGATTTTGCCACGCTGGTCCAAATATGTTCTACCAGGTATTTCCCATCACTTGACTTTTTACTTAAATTTACATAAAACAGACACTTCACGTTTCTTCTATAAATGGAAATTCAGCATCATTTATCATAAACAGAAGGTCTTCTTAAACAATATATAATCAGTTATAATTATGAGAGTGTTGCTCCGATGTGTGCCAAACTCATTTATGAGTGGTCACTAATATCAGGACTTTATCACTTATCAGGTCAAGCCGCCTGACCATGGAGTTGTTGGCCCTTATAGGTCATTAAGTTAGGGCAACAGATTGCTTTCCAAACCTTTGGGAAGAGAGGGCTGTTCTGCAGAAGAAGTTTATAGGTCAGTATTGGATGGAGAATGATGGAAAGATTAATTCAAAGTACTAAGCACCCTGGGCCCAGCAAGGCAATCCACAGTGGGCGGTGTCCGGCACTGGAATGACCTGGAGGGAACCACACAGGGGGAGGAAATGGCCTGAGGTCAGAGAGGGAGAATACCAAAAACCACGGCAGAGAGGAGCTGAAGCCAGGGCTGCTGCTCAGCTCTGTCTAGCACTGACTTATATTAAGTATAACAAGATTTTTTAACCATCATTTAATTTATTTTTTATATAAATAGTGAGATCAGGATCAGCATATAGAGTCACAACACAGTTATGCAGAACTGTGACTGGAGTCAAATGGCTTGTGAGTTTCCATGTTTGCTCACGGCAGTGGAGGGCATTCTGTATGTGTGTGTGTATATTGGGGTGGGAGGAAGGGAGATTTATTATTACCAATTAAAACTCAGTCTCTTCCAGTTTAAGTGTCTTTGGGGAAAAATCCCTCTTCCCCTTCTCTGTATGAACTGGCATATGCAGAAATGCACCTAATCCCATCTTATCTTTGGGCGTTGCCCAGCACCTTTGGCCCTGACCCCTGTAATGTATACCCACATCATCCAGTCCCCGTGCTTTACTGTCCATAGGCCTTCAGGCAATTTCATGCTCTAAATTGTGGATTTAGAAATGTTGGCTGCCTTCCCCATGCCCCACCAGAACAAGGGGAACTTTGTCAGGCTGTGGCAGGCCTGCCCAGCAAGAATAACCCTTCCGCCTCCCTAGTTGTTCTCAGACCAGGCTGTGTGTGCTCAGCCCTGCGGGAATGAGAGCCTTCTGGAGGGTTCTTGCAGCCTCAGGGGCTCTATCCAGGAAGCAGGCTGCGCACTGCACTAGGTGTTTCCAGACTTTCTGTGGGGCTCTCTCTCATCCTCTCAAGGTTTGGGCCCCATTCCTCCTTCCTCTCCAAGCCTTTAAACTCCGCACCTTAGAGTTTGGATTTTGTTAACATCCTATATGGTGGGACATGGCCCTCATGTCCTGTCCACCATTTCATCTACTTTAGGATCAGAACTCCAAACTTTAGTTCTGTCTTTGAGTCAAACCTTTCCTGAATTCAAAGCAAACCCCATTTCTTTCCCAAGTATCTGGCTTTTATAAATCAGAAAGCACTTTGATTTCCACCTTTCTGTCTACTGTGAGTTAAAAACATCCATTAAGCTCTTCAGTTGCCTACTCTGTTCTGACAGCTATCTGTCCTGCCCATAAATGCCATGGATTCAGGTCGTAGAAAGCAACTAGAAATACATAATGAACGGAAATACAGAAGAACCAACTACAAATACATAATGAGCAAAAATACAGAAATATTGCCTACAGGGTAGGCAACCGAAGAGCTTAATGGGTATTATTAAGCCTTTTCACTTCTATAGGAGAGGAGAAGGGAATGGGGAGCTGAGTGATGCCAGATCCCTTACTCCAGCTGTTTCATGAGCAGATATATTTAATAAATATACTGCGTATTGGATGAGGTTTGCAATAAGGAGACCGGTTTAATTCCTCATACTTTTTTAATGGGGCTCTTTTCAATGATGTCACTGGGTATTTTGCAGCCATTTTGAGATCAAAGTGTGCAAATATACGCTTTAATAAATAATGTTAAGTCAGAGTTAAGGCTGCCCTTGTATCTTCCTGGGCTGTTGTAGACTCTTTCTGTTAGATTTGCAAGACAAACAAAACCAGTTGTCTGTTTCTGCTTGGAAGAGAAGCTCTTAAAGCTACAATCCCGAGAGTGTTTTTCTTCTCTTGGGAACGTCAGAAGCATTTTGCTGCATGTATTCAGGGCACTGAGAATACTAGGTAAAAAGTCAGGATTTGGGAACATTAACAAAGGTGTGGGGGCCGGAACTTTAGTTCAGGATGCCTTTTAGGAAGTTTGCCAGAACCAAAGTCCCCTTGGTTATACTTCAGTCAGGGGGTTTCATTTTGTCCATAATTTCTGCAGAGGTCATTGTCACTTCATAGCAGGGATCTCATGCTGGAGTTAAGACAACCACCAGACTCAGTGGCACTCAGAGCATCTTACTGGTAGGAAAACATTTTCAACATGTAGTAATAGCTCCAAAGAAAATAGATGAGTGATTAAGAACAGTGATCTTGGAATCCGTTTGTCTAGGTTCAAATTCCAGCTCTGTGTATTCATATTCACGCCATGACAGAAACTAAAGTTTGTCATATTTGTATCATTTGTACACCGAGCAAAGCCTCCATAAGGACAGATATCTGTCTGAGGAGCTACTGTTATTACAAACCTACTTTCAGCTGCTACCTACGCTTGTACCATTTTCGTAGAAGGGGAGGCAAGGTGGATTCTCAATTAATAAACCTACCATCAGGGAGGTTTTTTGCCTTCAGTTTTATCTTACAGTTCATCATTGCCACATTTGAAATTAATTCAGGTTTTTTTTTTTATACAATACAGTTTTGAAGAGCCCCTCAGGAATACTATTAATATAGATAAAATTCCATTCCACCTATGTGACTCAATTCATGAGACCCTAGGAGTCACTTTCTAATTGCTCTGTTTGGTTTATTGTTTGCCTCAAACCCACTAAGAGAACCCAGATAATCACCCTTTACTTATTTCACCACACAGAATGATATTTCTTATTTGCACAGTAATTCTAACATAGGATTCACAGCATGGTAATTCTACAACCCATTTCAAACAAACCAGGATGTGTTTTCTTCTTCATAGCCTGAATCTGCATCCTAATCCTAATGGTCATGTCAAACAGTAGTGTTTGGGCAGGTGTCTGCCTTGGTGCCCTCATCCATAAAACAACAAGGACAGTAATCATTTCTTCTCATAAGGTTGTTATAGGATAAATGACAAAACCTTGTAAAAATTCATAGAACAGAGCCTAAGAAACGCAGTATCTCAGTGTCATTTGATGTTACTGTTCCTCTTTTTATTACAATTACTTTGTTAATTTTATATAGTCTAGTTCTGTTTACCGATAACCCTGTATCTTAATCTAGGCTACTATAGGAGAATACCATAAACTGAGCAGTTATGCTGATACAGACTGAGCAGTTATGCCCTTTGTTTCCCACAGTTCTAGGGGCTAGAAGTCTAAGACCAGCGAGGCAACATAATCGGGTTCTGGTGAGGGCTCTCTTCCGGTTTATAGAAGGCCGCCTTCTCCTGGTATCCTCGGTGGTGAAGAGAAGGTTAGCTCTCTCCCTGTGAGGACACTAATCCCGTCATCGTGGCTCTGCCTTCATGACCTAATTAATTCCCAAAGGCCTCACCTGTTCATACTGTTGCAGTAATGGTTAGGATTTCAACAAAGGAATTTTAGGAGGATGCAAACATGCAGATACACCCTGTATGGTGGGCCACTTGTTGCTTCAGCAGCCAAGCTGTTCCCTGATCCTTCTAGGAGAAGAAAGGAAGGAGGACAGAGTGCATAAGGTGGTTCCTCTTCGCCTCCTTTACACCTCCCCCCAAGCCACAGCATCACAGCCTCATTCTAGGCTTAGAGAGAAGACTGAGTCTGTTCTGAGGAATATGGTTCAACACATATATTTAGTACTTAAGGCTTTATTTGATACCATCTACCTGTCAGAAAAATCATTAGCAAAATGCTTTCCAGCTTTGTATAGACACATTGCACAAGAATGTTTGCTTAATAACCATAGCTTTCTGAGACAACTTGGCTGACAACAGCAAGGAGCATCTTTTTTTTTCTTTTTTAGAGTCAGGGTCTCACTGCACGCCCTGGCTGAAGAGCAGTGGCTATTTACAGGTGTAGCCGTTGTGTACTACAACTCCTGGGCTCAAACAATTCTCCTGCCCCACTCACTTGAGTAGCTGGGACTACAGACGCATACCCAGCTCAGCAAGGAACATTCTTTAATGTTATATTACATATTTTAGCAGAAAGAAGTGTTGCTTAGAAAAATCTATTTCGAATGGATGAAACTTAATGAGAATCCATTTTTTTCTTTAATGCATTAATTTTATAATCTAGCAACATAGTAAATCAATACTTTGTTTATACTAAACAAAACATTTTTTCTTTTTTAAGATATTCTGGAGTGTGTATAATAATATCCCGCCTGTGACTAGCCTGCCTTTGAGATGTAGTTACCATTTAATGAGAGGAGAGAGGCGACCACTTTGGTGAGTGTCTAAAGTGTAATTCGAGGTCAAGGTGGGAGGGAAATTGTTCTGAAACATATAAAAAGATTATATCCCTGAGATGTGTCTCTCACATGGACCCATGGAAAGTCTGTGATAGTGATCATGTTTGAGGGTTCGCCTTCTTTAACAATTTGTAGTAGTTTGCCCAGGTTGGAGTCCCAGTCAGTTATAAATCCTTATTTCATGACATTCGAATATATCTCAGCTCATTTAGTAGCAAATGGCAGAAAACCACTTTGAGCAAAAACTGGATTTTTTTTTTCTTTTTCAATCTGTAACTGAGAAGTTCACCAGGATTTCCAGCAGATCTGAGTGCTCAGAAGTTATCAGGAATCAGGTGTTCTCCATCCGATTTGTTTTGCTTCCTTTTGCATAGGTTTAATTTTTAAGCCTCGTTTTAGGTTTAATTCTAAGTTTAGCTTTCTCTTTTCTGGGGTAGCAAAAATGGCCTTCACAAGCCCTGGTCTTGCCCCTTGCAAGTTTGCCTATGTCAGCACTCACTAGCCTTCACTGGGGTCCCCTTTCCGTCCCTGGCTTGTCATTGAGACAAGGATTCGCAGAGGTGGGCCTGGGTTATATGCTCATCTCTACAGCTAGAAGATGGAATCAACCCTATCTGAGTGGGTCTGACATGAGAGTGGGGAGAGGTGGCTCCTCAGAGGGAAGTTAGGGTGCTTGTACCAGAGAGGGGCAGATATTGAAGAGGGAAACACAGCAGATGTCCACTGCAGAACACCTGTCAGGCCTGTGGTGCAAGGTTGCCATGAGAATCAGACGAGACCTTGTCCTGAATGTGACGTGGAAATGAAAGGCCTTGCACACGTGAAGCAGGTGTTTCCACTGTCCATCCCACTGAGCCAAGGGAGCCTCTCCACCCCCCTCCTTGGGGATGAGGGCCTTGGGCCTCGTCTCCCACTGTGCCCTGGTGGCTGCTGGATCCCACCTTCCCTCCCAGCCCTCGCCTCTTCCTTTTTCTTTCATCTGCTTCTGTTTCTAATAAAAGGACTAAGGAAGAGTTTATTGAAAAAATGCCCAGGCTTTTTTGTTTTTATGTCAAAATACTTCACCTCAATGAAGGTAGAATGACTTAATCCTTGAGTATAACTTTAAATGTTGGTCTTTGCTCCAGGGAAGAGGAGAGTAATGCAAAGGGTGGTGTATGGAAGATGAAAGTTCCCAAGGACAGCACGGTATGTGTTTTCTGACCCTTTTCTAGAACTGGCTGAGTTTGGGATGACTGTAGACTGCCTGTGAGGGGCATTTGTGCTTTTCATTCAGCCTGCCTACCTGGTGGTCTCCACGTAGGCCTCAGAGTAAGAGATTCTGTTCTGACCTTGATGATTTTCTGCCCTATGCTGTCACCTTGAAAATGTGTAATTGTGCTTCCCTGGTAGGAATTACACCATTCATGTGATGGTATCACATAGTCTGCAAGAATCATTGCTGAAAACTTTACAGAAAAGCAGATTGGTTATTTTTATGGTAGTCTTCTCCTGGCCAGCCACGACTAACACATAGAAGTGGGTTTCACGTAGTAGCAGGAAGCTCAGCCCTCCTCCACTGGGGAGCAAAGGCCTTTCTGCCTTGGCAGAGCATGACCATGGCATGGAGAATAGGGAAGCTTGCATCTCCACCACTCATTAGCTCAGCCTCCCTCTGGAGCTGATGGAAACCTGATTGGTGTGATGACCTGGTGGGATGCTAGTTGGCAGTGGCCAACCCTTAGAAATAACAGATTTTCCAGGAGTGGGCTTTAATTTTATCATATTGACTAAAAAGAAACATGAACATTAAAATCATTTAAGCCCTGGGAAACTAAAAAGCTTCTTTGAAAAATGGAAAAAGGGGAAATACTCCCCAGTCTTACCTCTTCATGGTTGCTTTCATGTGGATAAACTCAAAAGAATCGAAATGTCTCCAGGGACCCATTGTTGAAGCTAGAGTCATTTCCCTATTAGCACATACCTAAAGCTGTGACCAGATTTATTTGTCAAAGGTGAAAACTATTAGTCAAGATGTGTAGCTTGAAGATTTGACTGTTACTTGGCTTACATAATGAAAAATACCAGGGGAGCAAATAACAGACCAGGCAAAGCATATGAAGTCCCTCCACTCACCCCTTCTAAAAGAGAGCAATGACAATTTCAAAGAGTGAGGATTTTTGTCTTAATTTCTTTATGAGTGCTTTATGCCTTTTCATGTTCTCTGTTTACTGACACTAGACTTTGAGCGCTAGTAGAAGTAGTTAGGATGTCAACATTCATTGAAAAGCCTCTGAAAGGCAGTTTTGTCCTTTCTTTCCTTGTCAGCTCACTTGGGCCCCTTGGGTCACAAATGGTAATGCTTTCAAGTCCATACGAGTGCCCTGGGCCCAGGCAGCTCAGCCTACTCTTAATCATCAACCAGAGGGAGGCTTGTGGGTCAGCCTTGTGTGAATTCAGAGCAGGATAATTTGTTTTCCTTTCCCCTAACTTCTCTCCCCACTCTCAACTTCATCATTAACAGCATCAAGGACTGCAGTCAGACAAGAGAAAATGGGAGTGATGATGTCTACAGGGTGTCCCAAACGTTGTCACTAAAGTCACCGTGCATAGGGAGAATGGGAAATTGTAGCTAAATGTACTTTTGTTTACAAAACATTCATTACAAAATTTTACAAAGAAGTGGCCTTTGTAGAGAATGTTTTGTTAATGTTTTGTAACATTTTGGAACGAGTATTTTGTAAATAAAGGTACGTTTAGCTACAATTCTCATTCTCCTTCAGTATGGTGACTTTAGGGGCAACTTTTGGGATGCCCTGTGGATGGAAGACTAATAGACCAGAAGTCCAGAGGGAGAGTCTGGGGAAGGAAAAGGGAAACCTCCCTGAGGGTGAAAGGTCACCTTTCAATTTCCTATTTAACAGCCCCAGCCTTGGTTTTAAAATTTAGCTAGTCTGCTAGTGAGGACACAACAATAAACACTATTATTATAGTTAATGTGTTTAAAGCACCTGACATACAGCAAACACACAGCTATTTATGGGGTGGGCTTAAATGGTAAGGTTGCAATCATGGTGTTCAGCACTTTGAATGCATCCGTTGACTAATAGTCACAACAACCCTATGAGGTCAGCCCTATTATTATTTCTTGTTCGTCTAAAGTAACTAATGCTCAGAGAGGCTGATGATGTACTTGAGTCACAGATAGTAAGCAGCCTTTCAGGGTTCACCCAGTTCTGACAGACTTTAGAGCCTATGAACCAGGGCAAGGAGGATAAATGGGACCAAGAACTTTTCAAAGGGAATAACTAGAAGAACTTTTAGGCCTCCAGTAACCTGAGTGGATTCTGACTGTCTGTTTAGATGGCATTAGTAATTCTATTTTTTTTGGCCGTGGCTGGGTTTGAACCCGCCACCTCTGGCATATGGGGCCAGCGCCCTACTCCTTTGAGCCACAGGCGCCACCCAGCATTAGTAATTCTTGAGTAGAAGGAACACCAGTGTAGGAGATAGACCAGAACATGCACTAATTCTTCCAAGGAAATTCCACACATTCATACATAAAGTTCTATCACCCAACATAGGTATCTGCCTCAGGTGAATTGAATTTTCCAAGTCTCTAGTATTAAGTAAACAAAAAATTTCCTCAAGTGTTCTTTACTTGTGTAACCCTTGAAATACTTTATAAACTCTATAAAGAAAAAAAAAAGAAGAGTTTTGAGGAGAAGAATTATGTTAATAGCATTCAAATGGAATTCACTGATACATTTTGAATCAGTGAGAGGCAAAAAAAAAAAAATTTAAACATTTTAAGCCATTTTAATGTATTTTCTTCTGTTGTTCTGAATTTCACCAGAAGTTTTACTAAAGCTTAGCTTTCATAAGACTTTGGATCACTTGTAAACCAATACAATACAGGCCACCGGTGTAACTATTTGCACCTATGATTTGGAGGTGTCTGCAAGCTCCAAATGTGGGCACAGAAAGCGCATGTGAAGTTGAAGAAGATGTAACTTGTTTAGCTCCTGAAGATAACTGTCTAAAATGCATATATGTGTTTTGTTTTGTTTTGTTTTTGTTTTTATTCTTTTCCCACATCAGTCCACAGTTTGGAAAGAATTGTTGTTAGCAACTATCGGGGAACAGTTCACAGACTGCGCTGCAGCAGGTAAAGCAGCCCCGGAGGGGTCGTCTATGCCTGGTTCGTGCTGCCTCATGCTTGTTTCTTGTGGAAGTTTGTTTACTTTGTAACCATGAAGCTACTCAGATTCTTTTTTAATGTGATTATGGTGTTTGGTGTTAGATACATGTGTGTATGTACATAGGTATATTTACATATATATCTATTACGTTTTTATTTGTATATTGTTTGCATATATCTTTTTTTCCCTTATAGCTCAACTTAATAGTACCAACAGCCATCCATCTGTCCAAAATAGGCAGAAAGAAAAGACAAATTTGACGTCACTTGGGCTCTTGACACAATTTGTAGTAGGTTTCCTTTATCTATTTAAGTACTTCCAAAAGGGGAGGGTGCCTTTGGGGCCTCCGCTGGTAGGTAGCAGGCACAGCCCCTTCTGTCCCTCTCAGTCCCTTCCCCTCCCTCTTTGGGCCGCTGCTCAGGAGGAGCAGGTAGTCAGGGCTGGCTCAGCATTACTACCCAGGGTGCCACAGTGGAGGATAGAACATAAGGTCTGCAGAGCTTCCCTTTGGAGACCATTGTCAAATGCTGAGTGAATTTCTGAGAGCCTCCGTGAGTACTTTTTGTTTGGCTATGTGCTTATCACGGAACCACTCAAAGAGAATTTAATTGCTTGTTTAAAGTTTTGTTTTCTTCTTAGGTATTTCCTTCTGAATGCTTCTGAGGTAGCATTAGGATAATATTTTTCCTCTTCAGCTTTCAGTTAAGTTTTGTGGGGTTTTTTGGGGTTTTTTTTTTTTTTTTAAGCCAATGATACTGATCAGTCAGCCTTCAGACTTCTTAAATGGTGCTGTCTCGGAGAGTCCCTATAGGCCTTACCAGTCCCATGGCAAGTTTCAAATTCATCTCACTAGCAGTTTCAATAATCCTACTTTTACTTTCTTACTGCTGAAGCCATTTTCTAGTCATTTAAGACAAAGCCTGTGTTAAGATAAATTTGTCTTAAAAATAACATGTTTCTTCTATTTTAATAGGAAGTAGTTAGCAACTTGATAACATACAGATAAAAGTGCACTTTGTGTAAAATACGTAAATCCCTGGGAGAGGAGATTTTCTGTATGAATTATTCCTGTTTCCAGAACCAGGGGGAATAGTCTAAGTAATAATGGATAGCCAGTACTGAGTAGAGAAGACCAGTTGCTCCATGGTTGATTTCCGGAGTGAGGGCACCGTTAACCATTAACCACAGGTCTTCTGTAAACCACCTCTGCCACTTTAACTGAGTCAGCTGATCTCTCTGGGTCTCGCTTCCATCCTCTCTAGACAGTGGCTCCTCCAGGCTCCCATGTCTTATGCTGCCAGTAACCTAATCAAGATTTTGCTGGGCGATTCTACTCATGAATATTACATAGTCCCTGGTCCATTTGCCTTTGCGTGAAGTTGCAAGCTTTTACTGTGCCATTCATGAAAGTGCTGCACTAGTCACTGTGCCTTAGTTGCCCAAAGCCAAGCCAGACTGAAACATTGACAAGTTAGCATATTCCACATCCGTCAATTACATTACCCCCGACGAGTAGGATAGACATAGTTGATACCAAAAGACTGGGAAATGCGAATATTTCCTCAAAAGGCTGATCGAATGATTTCATGGCCATTCTTGAAAGTGATAAATTGCAAAGCTTTCCTCTTTATTTGATGATTTTATTGTCACATGAAATAAAACATTGAGCTCCAGCAAGACTATTCATGGGGCAGTGCCTGTGGCTCAAAGGAGTAGGGTGCTGACCCCATATGCCAGAGTTGGTGGGTTCAAACCCAGCCTGGGCCAAAAAAAGAAAAAAGAAAGACTATTCTTATAGTGCAAATTTAAAAATAAGAAACTTATGCCTAAAAAATCTTTTCTTGATGGGATAGTGAGTTTCCAGGGATAGCCATAATTAGGTACTTTCATTTATTTATTTATTTGGGGGAACTTTTTGTTTGAATTGGACATACTTACAGAAAAGGATACACTTTGAGAAATACTCATAAGTAAGCATATTCTTATAACTAGCATCCTAATCGGACATTACCAGCCCCTTGGAATCCCCCCATCTTCCCTTCCTTCAAAGGTGGCCTCCAAGCTAACTTTTAACACTGTAGGCTAATGTTGCCTGGTTTGGAACATTTATATATTTCGTCAAGTCATACACATTTAACCAAGAATCAAATTCTCTTAAAAAGAAAAGGGAGAGAGAAAAGGGGAAGGGAAGAATAGACTAAAGAAAATTATGTTACTGAAGGTGACTTCTTCTAGTTAATTATGTGTGCTCTCTTTTAAGTGGCATCCTAACCCTAACCTCCAGAAGACAATTGGAAAAACTCATGGTGTGCATGTTTGAGTTTACAGAGGCTAGCATATTAGCAGAATTTCCTGATTTTGATAATGTTTATCTTTGGCATATGACTTGTTCATGCTGCATATGCATGTGCAAAGAGCTGACCCTACTTTATTACTGTGTCAGGAACACAGAAAACCAACAGTGTGTGCTCCTATCATTGGGCTACAAATTAGCATAAATAATGTGGCCGTAAGGGAGTATATACCAGTAGCCATACTCCAGCTACCATGCCCTACTTTCTGTTATACAAAGGCAACCTCAAATCTGCAATTCCATGTTTTTCTTTTAAAGTCTTACCTTAAGCAATGTAAATGAGTGACTGTCCATTTACTGAAGGATGGTACTTATTATCACAGAGACATACTCAGACACACTCTAAACAGTGCTGACAGATAGTCACTGGTTCTCTAGCCCACAAAATCATACTCAGAACCAGAGGGCCTAGAGGGAAGCATCACTGAGAGGAAGAATTCTCAGGAAAGGAGCAGACAGACAAACCACAACAAACAGATGAGCAATGAAGAATGCACAGGCTGGTCCAGTTAGTGTTGGGGCAGATAGCGCGAACCACCTCAAGGTCTCTGCAGCTTGGCGGGAAGTCAGGAGAAATTCTTGCTCTTCTTAACAAAGACAGCAAGGCATCAAGGAAAAGTTCATTTGAGTTCACTTGGCTTTCAGAGGGCAGGGAATTACGCAACCCGTCTTAGAAAAAGTCTCATCAAAACAGAGTAAGAAATAGTCAAAAAGCTTTGGTAACCTTAAAAAGGGTAAATTACTTATCTGGAAAATGCATTTGGCTGGAACACTTTGTTTATCTAAGTCCCTGGATAAATGTGATGTGAGTGCTACAGCTTTTGTACACTAACTTGCTGTTTTCCACTCATTCCCATAGAAACAATTATTTCTTACAAACTCTCTTATGCCCCCTTTTCCCCATCTTATGACTTTCAGATAAAATGATTAGGTTCTTAGGAACAATCAGTCAGACTGAGGTGAAAATTATCACTCATTTCTTTTCTTCCATCTTCCCCTCAGATGACGAAGTAATAGGAGTCAGTGTCAGTGTTCGGGACCGGGAAGATGTCGTCCAAGTCTGGAATGTAAATGCCTCTTTAGTCGGTGAAGCGACTGTTTTAGAAAAGATCTATGAACTTCTGCCCCACATAACTTTTAAAGCAGTATTTTATAAACGTAAGTGCTTCATTTTCAGTTATTACTTTTCTAGCTTATTCCATGATACTTTTGGAGATAGAAACTGTGTTGTAAATGAGGTGAAGGCAGAATCACTTGAAATTTGATAATTCAGAAAAGAATTCAATAAAATACGCTTAAGTGTTTTTTTAAAAAAAAAAAAAAAACAAGCTTAATCTCAGAAATTAAAATGAGATGTTATTCCTGCCTAACTGCAGGGATCAGAAAAGGAAATACACATTGTATTTTTTATTTCAAAAATTTAAACCTAAACTTAAATTCCTAAGTCTCAGAAAATTACTTTCCATTGGAAAGAACAATGACAAAAAAGTGTCATTCTATGAGCTGGCAGGTAGATATTCAGTCATCCCTTCATAAACAGGAATTTATAATGTATAACATCTGTATTTGTAGAAGAAACGCATTCTGAGCACAGGCATGATTGAATGTTCTACTGAAATGCTAATATTTCCTCATTACGGATGACGGGGACACAGAACTGAAAGAATTCACGCACAGTGGCAAAATGTTAACAGTATGAATAGGTGTGTGGACCCATTGTTTCCATCATGAGTCATGTTCATTGCTTTTGTGTACTCTTTTGAAAAAGCCATCTTTTTCATAATGAAAACATCCTAGTGCTATTAAACCAATATTTGGTAGATGGAACTCTAGGTTACACTTCAGCAGTGAGTTAGAGGAAAGAATTGACAGCCCTACACATGTTTGATAAATTTCCTGTATCCCAAACTGTGTTCCTAGAGTGAATAGCCCATTTTTTAAACTACTATACTTCACGGAATCAAAGGTGCCCTTGATGATAACGTACCCCATTAGTTTACTATCACTAAGAAAAAAATAAAAAGCTCCCAATTAAACTATGACACATTATTGATACCAGAGGACTTCAAATCCATGTGTGGTGGTTGTGAGGAGTGCATCTTAGAACTGCCAAAATCATTTCAATGTTATTTCCTTTTTTCCAACTCCTTGCCAAAAAAGATTTCTAAAAAATCATATTCTGTTTTGTGGTTGTCTTAGTATGACAGAGTATATTAAAATGATACCTCCCTATAAGGAATCACAGTTACAGACCAAATGATTCTAAGTTTTAAAGTAGCATATCTGGCACTGCAGATCTTCAGGACGTGCAGAAGTTCTGATTTTAAAGGAAAGTTTAAATAAAAGAGATGGAAAGAAGGCACTGCAGAAGTTGCTTATTGGTTATGCAATGTGCAAATCATGTATTTTTGATACTATTTTTATTCTTTAGGAATACATTAATTGTATTCTCACTTCAGATATTTAATTGAAAGGTCCCCGAGGGTTTTCTCTTTATTTCTACTTTATAAGACTAACTCAAAGAAACACTACAAAAAGAAATGAGTTTCATTGCCATGTTTAAATGGAGCTAAAACATTCTTTACCACTTGTAAAGTGGCTCCATACTTGACTCACAAGAGGAAAAAAGCAATTTGGAATCATTAAGTCAGGCATTTTGGATTTTTGTCCCACTTCAAGAGTATTGACCTTGAGCAAGTCACAGCTTCTCAGCCTTTCATTTTTCCAACTGAATGTCGAGGAGGTTGGTTTTAGATGATCTCCAAGGTTCCTTCTGCTTCAAAATTCTATGATTAGGTTTCCACGCACCCCAGTGTAAGATAATGAGGCCACAGAGTGGTCAGGCTGGTTCTCAGGCCGTGGTGATGAGCAGGTAAGACTAACAGAGGGCAGGACGATTGGCTGCATAGCTGTTACGATGGTTGGGGAAGGACTCAGCCAGACTAGGGGAAAGGAGAGTTGGAACTGGGCCAGTGGAATTAAGCCCAATAGACACCCTGAGGGTAGAGGCCATTGTAAGGCTTGTGAGTAATAGGAACTGGCTATGGGTCTCAGCAAAAATCCCCAGTTACGGCATAAATTAATAGAAACTCAAAGATTATTCAAATAAAAATCTGAATTTAACAAAAACAGGCAATTATCTTTATTTGGTATAAAGCAGGCAGTCCTTTACTCAGCAAGGTTATATACCACCTGCTGCAAAAATGATTTGAAAAAATAAGGTTTGGGCAGAAATCTCGTACACAGCATGGTGAACAGGCATAGGTGAGCCAAGTTAGAAATGGCCAATTCATGCTCTTACTCTGTCTCATTAATAGGATCCTGGTGGAAATAGTCACAGATTTATAGACGTTTAGGTGACCAGATTTTCCATGCAGAATGAACCCACGCATGTTCAGTTACGGCCTCCAGCAGGTTGATGAGTTTTAGACTTTGGATTGATCACCTGACTAACTCACCATGTACAGAGACACCCTGCCACACATCCTCCCGCAGGTCCTATAAAGTTTTTCAGAGCAGCTGAATGATGAACGTCTTTGCTGATACCTGGATTGTTTAGAGCAGGGGTTGGCAAACTGAGACCTGGGGGCAAATCAGCTCTGTCTTTGCCCGACCCCACCCCACCCACACCTCTGAGAATGGTTTTTCCACTTTTCAATGGTTAGGAAAAAGCGAAAGAATTGTATTTTGTGACATATGCAGATTATGTGACTATCTAATTTTAGTATCCACAAATAAAGTTTTATTGACATAAAGTGATACTCATTTGTGTCCACAGTGTCAATAGCTGCATTAGTGCTAAAGTGGCAGAGATTGAGATGGGACAGAGACAATCAGGCCCACAAAGACTAAGATATTTGTTCTCTTCCTCATTCAAAAAACAAGTTGCCAACTCCTGGCTGAGAGCAGTTGACTATTCCCTTTCTGCTGAAGCCAGCTAACCTAAGGCGGACAGAACACCCTCTGTTCCCTACGCACTCCTGGCCTTGAGCATTTGGTTTCGCTGTCTCCTGAGCCCACCAACATGGCAGTGTTTCAACAGTGACTTCCCCAGACTGCCCCTACACACCTAGACGTAGTACAAATCTTTGGGTGGTCCATATCTCTGGGCTTATGACTTGGAGACTAGCATCACAGTGGCTCTGCAGCTCCTCCACTTGACCCTGAAGTACCATGTATTTTACTGTAGACAAAAAGCATATTTTCTTCAGGGTCTGCCCTAGGCATTTTGCTTAAAAAGAAAACACAGACACACAGACACACACACACACACATCCAAAAACAAATGTGTAAAATTATAACTGTGAGAAATGCTCCATTAAATGAGTTCAGATTTCCAGCCACCTTTACAAATTTGGCCAACCGGAAGTAACCCTGGGAGCTATAAAGTGCATCTCATCTACATTTTATGCAGGCTCCACGTGGGTTGGGATAAACATCCAGAATGATCTTGAAGGGAAAATAGTCCTGTGCCACCTTGACCCCTTCGTAATAGTCTGAATTTAGTCCACATTAAAAACCAAATTGAGAGAGGCTTAAAAGGTGAACTGGGCCAGCCCATCTGTGCCTTCCTAGGACATGTTTCTCAGCCTGTGGGGATAGGGTGCAGGGTGACAAAGCACACAGGAGCCTGCATCACCCCTGGCTATATCACACTCGCTTCATGATGATGGTGAACCAAGTTCAGCAAGTGGATTCCCAACCTTGGTCTTGCCTTGGAGGAAATGCTATGTATTTCAGAGGCCTCCCATGTCCACTTCCCACTTTAAACAACTTTAAGTCTTTGAAAGTATTTATGGGCCAGGTGCGGTAGCTCATGCCTGTAATCCTAACATTCTGGGAGGCCAAGGCAGGTGGATAGCTTGAGTTCACAAGTTCAAGACCAGTCTGAGCAAAAAGTGAGACCCCCATCTCTACTAAAAATAGAAAAACTGAGGCAAGAGAAATCTCTTGAGCCCAAGTTCAAGTGATGCCACAACACTCTACCCAGGGCAACAGCTTGAGACTCTGTCTCAAAAATAAAAAGAAAAGAAAGTATTTTTGTTAGCATAATTTTTTGTAAATCTAGAGTTCCTAATTAGTAATTTTTTGAGCCAGACAGTAGAACTGAAAATCCAGTGGGGTAGGGGGAGGGAAATTATGACTGGGAAAAATAAAAGACCCATCCATTTTATGAAACTTCATTTCCCATAGAGAGTGTTGAGAGCTGGGGGGGATGTAACATAATTGCTTTCACCCTGGTGTGGTTCTTTGTTTTGTCTTATTTTTGTTTTATTTTATTTTTAAAGATAGGTACACAAGTGGCTCTGTCTTGGGTAATGCCAGGTGTCCCCCCCATGCATTTTGGGGGGCACATTTTCCCCTGCAGCACTTGCTTGCAACCCGACATACTCTCTTCATCAGCTTGTTGGGATGACTCATCCCCTCAGGCACAGCAAGAAGAAACAGGCAGCGTGCCCATTGCTTGTTTATTCCTTGTTTTAATTTTCATTATTACGTTTCTCAGGAAATGCACGCCTTAGCTAACAGTTACTGGCAAAAAAGGTATTTGAGTTCTTGCCAACATTTGGGGAAGCTGAATGAGATGCCTAGAGGAGGGTTGGCCCATCCTTTGCTTAAAGTTTTCTTTCCTTTTTTCTTTTTTGTTTTTTTCTGTCCTTTAGCCCATGAAGAGCATCATGCTTTTGAAGGTGGACGTGGAAAACACTAATTGCACTCTGTAAAGAATTCTTTGTCCTTTGCTGATTGGTTTTGGAAACGGTCTTAACAGGAGGGAGAGTGAAGAGAAGACATGCCGAAGCCCGATGCTGGTCCATTTAGAGTGGGTTTCTGTCCTTGCAGACTGGGCAATTAGGACTCAAAGTGGCAGGTGGGGTGGGGGGAGACTGTGTGGGTTTCTACCGTCACATTATTTGCTTTAAAAAAAAAAAAAACTTTTTTTTTCTGGCTCTCTAAATTCTCCATTCTTTTCACTCTGAAATTTTTTTTTTTTTTTGCCCTTTAAAATTCCTTATTCAGTCTAATTATTGTTTTCTACACTCCCCTTTCATTGAGGCCCAAGAAATTGGTTTCCCTTTAAGTGGCTGTGCTGTACCTAGTTAATGAGAATATGAATAATCATGACAATACTGCTTTTGAAAACCACCCTGTACAAGGAGGAATTCTAGCTTGGTGAAACCTGTCTTCTGATTATTTGTTGTGACACATTTGTACCTACCATGATCTGGGCATTGTTTTTTTCTGTCCCAGGGAAAAGGAAAACTATACTTAATCTGATTTTGCACAGGCAGTACATATATCTTTTATTTTTCCTTTTTAAAATATTTTTATTGTTGTTAGTGATACAGGGACAATAGTTGGGTTGCCTAACATTAAAACTGTAATCACAGTTCCATATCAGGATGTAAATAAATCAAACTCTAGGTCTTTGGACCCTCTGTGGAAATATTTCTAACCAGAATTTCAATTTGGCCTTTTCAATGAAAGGCTTAGCGTGGTAGCAAGGGATTCCTCCCTGTAGAAAACCTGAGATCTCTGATTGAAAGAGGAGGTGATATTTTAATTGTTCGAATTAAGCTTCATCAGAAGTTGGAGTGTGTTTACCCACTTAGGACTTTCCAAATCAATTCTTACACGTTTTGTTAAATGATCCCCCTTTTCCTGCTCACATTGTGTGTCATTTCTGATAATCAATAGGCCTCCGACCTGGGCAGCTCTTTGTTCCTTTAGGAGCAGGAGGTCACGTCTCATTTCCAGGATGGATATGAACATTCACAAAGTCGAATGTCGAGTGCATTCTGTACATATTAATTATTGGAATTGTTGATATATATTGTATTATACTACCAAAGAAATAGTGATCTTAGTGAAAGGACAGGCCACCCTCTGGAACATTGAGACCCCCACAGAATGTGCTAATCTCCTTCTCTCAACTTTGTCAAGCCTCTGGCTGCTTTTGTCTGATGAAGGGCAGGGCCTTTGGAAGAGGCCTCCTCGGGCTGGCCTGTTTTGGAGCTAGTACATGCTTATGCATTTTTCAAAAGGGCGGTGCACTCAGAACTTTCATTGCACCCAGGATTTCTAATTCCTTGCAGTTTGAACTGGCAGAAAGTGGTTGGGGCTACTTTCAGCTTCCAACGTGTGTTTGTAAATAAAATTCTCTGTCGAAACCTTTTAATGAACTTGCCACGATATGTTTTTATAAATCTCATGGCCTTCATTTGCATTGCTAAGCACATCAGTCACAATAAACATCATCATAGTTTTAAAAAAATACTTTTTTCTAAACTTGACTTTCTTCAGTGATTTCAAAATAAGGTACAAGGATATGAGACCCATTTAGCAAAAGCCTGGGACTTGTTTCTCTATATGTTGTACTAACTAACATTCAACTTGTTTTAAAATATTCCTGACGGATTTTTTTTTAAATTATAGATGTGAATTAAAATTCTTTTTTATAATATAAGTATTTTTCTGATAGATTAGGAAAAAGGATATGATCGACTTTACTATAATTGTTATATATATTTCCATAAGTAAATGGATTTGAGATATTTTTATTTTTTGAATTTTATTTAAACCATTTGTGATGACGTGTTCAACTTTTGCGTGTATGTAGCCTTTGAAGTAAAAATAAAATAAAATAAATAGGAATGTTAGGTTCACATTCATGGTTTCTAGTTCCTATTGTTAATAGAAATTGTCTAACCACACAAAGTGGAATTTTTGTCCCAGTGAACTTCTGCAACTGTTTCTGACCCTTTGGAAAATACCAACTGTGAGAAGGATTTAATTTGCTTAATATTAAAGACCTATCATCAAAATTACTTTAAGAGAGGATTTGGTCAGATTTTTGCTTTGGAAATTGTTTTAATTGAATATTTAGTGACAATAGACTTCATATGAACTAAGCTGATTTAATCAGTTTAAAAACCTCTCATTACCTTCTTACATTAAAGAAGCTAATACTCTTTTCAGACAGAAGGAAATATTTTGCAGGGCATGTGACTTTTGTGTCAGGGCGTTTCACCCATCTTGACCCATACGGGGAAAGTGCAGGCTTCCAGCAGATCCTGCGTCTTTTCAGCCAGGTCCTTGCAGGTGCAGCCTCCCATTCTCCACAGAGAGCCACACTGAAACCAAAGGGCCCACTTTCTTGCCTTTGTAGTTCCTCAGGGTCTGTGATACAGAGCCAGGAAATCTGACTGAAACTAATATACTTTTTCTCCTCCCATTATTGCCGAGATTATCATATCCCAGGCACTCGCTCACATTGGGAAATTTACGCCCATTACATAAGGATGATAATACCCACTTAAAGCAGTGTGTGTCTGTATTTCAGTTGTCTTCTGTAAGCCCTTTCTGAAGTGCCAACTTACCCAAAAGATTTCCTCTCTCCCCCCCACCTTTTCCATATTTCTAACACAAAGGTATCATTTACAGCAAATATGCATATTTAATATAATGTTGCTAGTAGATACATAGTACACTGGATGCTGAGAAAACACGAAAAGGCAAACACAATTCTGGTAACCTTTGAAGATGAAGTTGACTCTAACCGTCACATCCCTCTTCTTGAATTTAGGTCTTATTTACACCATATACAGGCACAAGACTTCAGAGCTGATAGAAACTTCAGATATATTTAGATATAGTAAACATAACATACAATTCGCTGACTTAGCCTTGACTGAACTTCCATTTTGGCCACTAATATGACTATATAATCAGACATCTTTTTTGTAAAGAGTTGCTCATTCTCTCCCTCTCATTCTGAGTGACTGAAGTGGCATTAGGTTTTGGAGTTTGAAAATGACCTTACTTATCAGCAAATGGCCCTTTGCTGTTGAGTGCTTAACTCCCAGAGCAGTGGTTCTCAACCTGTGGGTCGCAACCCACAGGAACTGTATGAAACAGTCGTGGCATTAGGAAGGTTGAGATCCACTGTCCTAGGGGATCCCAACTTTTGTACTGACACAAAATTGGCAGCCTTTGGAATGATCGCATGGTGGCGCTGCCTTCCAGCCAACAGCTCTTGCTCAGCCGCAGAATTTACCCAGCTATGTTTATGGAATTATTTTCGGAGCCTACTGCATTTTGTTCTTAAGCTTTCATCACAATTTGACTAGACACTGTAAAAATGATACTTAGTGATTTGACATTTAGTTTCATGCACCTAATAAAAATGTGTCAAAGATAGAATTTTCCAGATGTGCTTAAAAAAAAAAAGACATCTTAGGCCTATAAACAGTTGTAAAGAGAAAGAATAAAATAACTAACACACAGGAAATATGGGAAACATTTCATCAAATACTGCACCCACAGAGAGAAAATTAGGATTTGATTTTTTTTTTCTGAATATGGAACTCTCCTTTAAAAATGTTAAGTCTTCCATCCCCTTTTCTAATATTGTGTGTTTCTGTAAGATTTCACTGATTACAAATGGAAGTAGAGGACTGCCTGTATATATATCATTTAGTTTTTAAAAGAATATGTAGAGATCAATTAAAATTACTTAAGAGCTTGAAAGCATGGATAATTGTCTCAACAGCTGGGAGGAGTCAGAGGGTGAAGAGGAAAAGTTAGGGACTGAGAGACACTATGAAAAGTCCATTTGGATCTGTGCTCTTGTACAGCCATTAGGTTCCTCCTCTACTTCTCCCCAGAAGGAACAAATCTAAAATAGATTCCTACACATCTGACTCTGCTGTTCTGGTTTTGTTTTCTATCATTATTACATATGCATCAAAAGATATTGGTAGTTAATTATTAATAGATATCAAATAATTAATAGTTATTAAAGTTATTTAGGTTAACCCATTGAGGCCGAAAGTCACCACCTTGTGTTCTAGAAACCTGACTCAAGTTTTGAAAGAAAACTCAGAGACTATTAGAATTTTAGAGTGAAAGGGACCTTTGAGATCATCTACCAGTGCTTCTCACCCGTTAGCATGCAGGAGAGTCACTCAGTTGTTACTTCCTGTGTAGATTTCTCAACCCCAGCCCCAGAGGTCTGGGATGGCTAGTCATCTGCATTTTTAGCAAGCGCTGCAGTGATTCTAATGCTGATGGTCCTCAGACCTCACTTTGAGAACCCCTGATTTTATCCAGTCCCACATATGACAAAGGAGAAAAGCCCCATCCCTGAGCTCTCTCAGGTGATCTCTGAGCTCTCTCAGGTGACCTGATTCAAACATCAACATTCTTCTGAAGGATACATTGAGAAAACCATTATTACTAAGACTTGAGCAGATGATGCTCGTTAATAAGAACTTTATGACTGGGACCACGGCAGTCATGGGAGCCCATCTCTGGAAGTTCATAATATAAAGCCTTTAACACAGAGTGGTAGCTTTTCTCTTTTCTAAATACAATTTCAGCCTGTTAAGAGAAAAGAAATTAATGTTCAGAAAAAAGTAGTTACTCCATATGTGCAGTAACTACTTTTCTATAATGTCTTACGGCATCTGGGGTTCAGCATCATTGAACAAGATTAAATGAACGTTATAGAGCTATAAAATTGCATGTAAAATAACGCAAAACCGTTCAAATGACTATCAAAGTAGACTAGGAATGAATTTCCGCTAAAATTAATTGTCACTTTCTAAATGTAGCTTAGGAAAGCTGTTACTAAACTGGAGGGATTCTTTAATACTAGAAGTGTCAAAAAAAATCGAATAAGTATTCCCCAAACCATGTCAATGATAAGAAAAGTCATTGTGAAGTCAATAATTTTTTGTTCGTCATTGCTACTGAAATTTAGAGTCCCATTGTATCTGTGTGTGTTGAATGTACCTTGTTAGAATATCCAATAAAATAGCCTTTGGATATTCTATGCTCTTGTGTCCTTTAGGCATCATGAAGTTGAAGGAATCTGTGTTAAATGTTTTTGTTTGGGTTGCTGCCGGAAAAAAGCTACCAACTCATTTAAGGAAGTACAGAATTTCTTTATGAGAATTACAGCTTCAAATGTTGAAGTCAGAGAGTTTTTCTTGAACTTTTCATTTTGGATCGAGTGTTTGGGGTTTATTAAACTGTTGCCTTTGCATTATGGAAGTCAGCATGAAGTAAACATGAGTGTTTCTGAGTTTTCTGTGGAAAATTAATGGTACTTCTTGTCTTTTTACATCACATACAAAGGAGCAACTTTTAATGAAGGCTTGAGGATGGGAAAATTTTAGTTTTAGCACTTTACATACTTAATGGAAAATATTAAAGGACTTTGAACATTTTAATAAACTTATAGGGTTTCTGTTTTCAAATAGAGCTATTAATTTCACAGGCATACACTAAATTCTCCCCAACTTCTCAGAGAATGATTGTGGCTTACAATCATTGTAATTTTTTTTTAAGTTTTAACACTATCTTCTTAGTATTTGTTTGATAACAAGTTACCATTACTTTGAATGTATCTTCATGGAGAATTTAATTTTATTTAAATTACTACACAAAACAATTTTTAAATTTTAACTAGTGAGCACACTCCAGTTTGAGACACCTAGGGCTGTTTGTCCCACATTTAAAATCTTATCAGTTGCATTAAAAGTGATTCATTTTTTTAGCATGGTCTTACCTGTGTAAGTTGAACCAGGTTTATTTGCCTTATGTTTTGGATCTATTTATGCCCCGCACCCCCCTATTCTGTACCATCTGTGCCCTGTGCAGTTGGGGACCCCTTCACATCTGGCTACAAGCTGGTGTAATGCCCTTCCTTTTGATCTGGCTTCATCTAGTGATTTGCTCAGTATTTTTAAGGTCAGACTGAAAACTTTTCTGTTCTAGTTATTTTTGACTTTATATTGTGTGTTGTGTTTGATGTTCAGATACATGTGAAAGTTGCTTCTATAAGTCCATAATTTCTATTCCAGCCTTTTGCAGTAATAAGGTAAGACTAGACTGTACTTTTCTTACTTGAAAATGCAGTGATTTTTGTGTTCAGTGCAAATGTTTATACTCTTCACACAAAAGTTCTTGCTGTTTTCTAATTTGGGGTTAGATGGCTATGAATTTGTGCTTCTTCCTTTTTCAAGTTATAAATTCACAAGGTCTGTTTAAGTGTTATTAGTTTTTAGGACTTTATTTTGAAATCTTTTCTAATCTGTTGCCACTAATTGTCACTCTGCATTTGGGTTTTTATGGTATAGAAAAGTCATTTTCATCTCCCAGGGTTTAAAATTTTACACAGTTTCATCAGCCCCAATGCTTAACGTTCATTAGGTTCCGTGTGTGTGTTTGTGTGTGTGTGGTGATTAACACAACCCTGTTTACTCCAGCACATTTCTGTCCAATACCACTGACGTGTATGAAGTTCTAACGTGGTGCCGTGGTACTTCATGGGAAGCCACTGTTACTATTTTTACACTTTTCCTATTGAACACATTTGGTAATAGGGCTCATCTAGGTATCTTAGAAAATACACCTTGCTTGTTTTAATTCTTTTTCTTTATCCTCCTCTCAGAATGATTTAGCTTCGTTCGTCTCGTGTATTATTGTTTGCCCCTCAGATTGAGTTGTCCCCCATTTAGTCGAGTCAAGTCCAGTTTACTCTTTCTTTCTGCTGTCTATTATATCCCTTTAGAAACAAACAAAAAAATACCAACAACCTCTTCTTTCTTCCACTCATTTGCATACTTTCCATCTCTTGCTGTAGGAGCAAGCAATTCAACA